GAATCTGGTTAGTTTTTCAGTCTTATCTTTTCCAAAAAAAACAGCTCTTGGTGTCATTGACCTTTTGTATTGTTTTTTAGATTCTATTTCATTTATTCTTCTAATATTTAGTATGTCCTTCCTTCTATTCCCTTTCGGCTTTTTCTTTTTCAATTTCCTCTAAGTGTGAAGTTAGATTGTTTATTTGAGATTTTTCTTGCTTCTTCAAGTAGGTATGTAATGCTATAAATTTTACTCTTAGGGCTGCTTTTGTCGTGTCCCACAGATTATAGGTTGTGTTTTCACTTTCATTTGTTTCTAGGTCTCTTTTGAATTCTTCCTTGATCTTACTGTTAACCCATTCATTGCCTAGTACGGCAATTTTCACATAAACTAATTAATAAAAGTCTATGGCACACAGAAAATATATTTGTTGCTGATCTGACCCCCTAAAGCAGGTACAGTTTTGAATTATTCACACTGAACAGCTATTATTGGGTTGGCTGCTGTCTTTTTTTCTTTTTTTTTTAATACACTCTAAGGAAAAAGAGGTGAGTGTGCCTGACTCCATAGTCAGGTATTGCATGTTTTAAAAATTCTTGCTGCACACTGGTTAAAAATTGCTGGTTTAGTAACTTGTTATTTAGCCTCCCAAACCTTGTGTGTTTTTCAGGTTTTTTTATTGATTCATTTCTAGTTTTATACCATTATGTTCAAAGATACTTGATATGATTTCAATCTTCTTATTGAGGCTTGTTTTGTGTCCTAACATGTGGTCTATCCTATAAAATGTTCCATGTGCACTTAAAAATAATGTATAATATGCTGCTTTGGGGTGAAATGCTCTGAAGATATCATTAATCCTATCTGATCCAATGTGTCATTTGAGGCCGCTGTTTCTTTTCTGATTTTCTTGTCTGAAAGATCTACCCATTGACGTCAATGGGGTGTTAAAATCCCCTACTATTACCATCTAACTCTCACTTTACATCCATCAAGATGTGTTTCATATATTTAGGTGCTCCTGTGTTGGGTGCGTAAGTGTTTACAAGGTGTCTAAGCTCCTGTTGGATTGCTCCCTTGATCATTATGTAGTGTCCTTATTTGTCTCTTATTATTTTGTTTTAAAGTCCTTTTTGTCTGATATAAAGATTGCTACCTCAGCTTTTTGTTCATTTCTATTTGCATGAAGTATCTTTATCCATGCCTTTACTTTTAGATTGTGTGTACCTTTCATTCTAAGGTGGGTCTCTTGTAGAGAGCACATATATGGGTCTTGATGATTTAACTATTCAGTTACCCTATTTTTTTTTTATTGGAGCATTTAAGCAATTTGCATTTTAAATGATTATAGATAGGTACCTACTTACTGCAATTTTATTCTTTATAACTACGTTCTTCTGTTGTCTTTTCCTTCTTTTTCTTCTTAAAAAAAAAGACCCTGTAGCATATCTTGTAATACTAGTTTAGTGGTACTGAACTCCATTAGCTTTTTCTTGTTGATAACATCTTCATTTCCTCCTCAATTTTAAACTATACCCTTGTTGGATAAAGTAGTCTTGGTTATAGGTCCTCGCTTTTCATCATTTTAGTTTTTCATGCCAATCCCTTCTGGCATGAAATACTTCTTATGGAAGGTCCTTTGTAGGTCACTGACTGTCCTTCTCTTACTGTCTTTAAGATTACCTATCTTTAATCATTGCCATTTTAATTATGATATATCTTGGTGTGGGCCTCTTTGGGTGCATATTCTTAGGAACTCTGCACTTCCTAGATTTGCATGGGTTTTTCCTTCGCCATGTTAGGGATGTTTTCAGTCATTTCTTTTAAAAGTTTCTTGATCCCTTGCCATCTTCTCCTTTTGGTCCCTGTATGACATAAATGTTGTTATGTTTCATTTTGCCCCTAAGATTCCTTAAACTATTCTCGTTTTTAAAAATTTTTTTTTTTTTTTTGCTACTGTGATTGGTTGTATACTGCTACTGTGTTTACAAACTGCTGATTAGATCCTCTGCTTCATCCAATCTGTTTATTCCTGCTAATGTAGTCTTCATTTCAGATACTGTATTCTTCACTTCTAATTGGTTCTTCTTCATGGCTTCTCTTTTTTTCATGCTGTTGAAGTTCTAACTTCCTTGAAGTTCTAAGTCCCTTGAGCAGCCTTCTAACCATTTTTTTGAACTCTATATCTGGAAAATTGCTTGCCTCCATTTCATTTAGCTTTTTTTTCCTGGAGATTTCTCCTGTGCTTTCATTTGGGGCATGTTTCTTTGTCTCCCCATTTTAGCTGCCTCTCTGTGTTTCTATGAACTAGGTAGATCTGTTACATCTCCCTGTCTTGGTAGGGTGGCCTTATGTAGTAGGTTTCCTGTGGTACCAAGTGGCACAGTCTACTTGATCACTCCATGAAATGTCTCCTGTGTGGGTTATGCAAGCCCTCCTGTTGTAATTAAGTCTTGAATGCTATTGGCCCATTTGTGTGTGGGTTCAACCCTCAGGCTGACTGAGGATCAACCCTGGCCACAGTGTGTTGAGTTGTGTAAGTGCTGCCCACACTAAGTGAAATTACCCTCAGAAATGTCTGGTATCTGCCAAGATATTCCTTTTGGATATGCTGCTTGTGAAGCTAACTGGATCCTTCTCTAATGTATTCTGAAGCTGGCCACTCAGTACATTTGTTCTGTGGCCTCTTCAAAGAAACTCTGGTGTTGATCAATATCAGATGTTGCCTGGGACTGGCCCTGAGCAGTCTATTTGCAGAAAAAAGCAATCTACAGTTTGTGGTTGTCACTGCTGTGACTGAGTGTGAGTGAGAAGGACCAAGCTATGAACCAAGGCCAGCTTCCACCAGAACCAAAGATGGGGGCAAGTCAGGAAAGGCCCAAGACACCCCTATTCTGCCTCTGCTTACCTCCACCTACGGAGGACTGTTAGGCTCAGTCACTGACATACCCTCACCAGGTAAGTCACTAGGAAGGGGTAAGTAACCAGGTAAATCAGTGAGTCACTAGGTAAGGGGCAAGTGCTATTCACCAGACTCATACCTGTTCCAACTCAGTGTCAGTGCTGGGTCTGGGGTCACTTAGCAAATGCCACAGCATATACCAAGTCTAGCTGCCACTCCCTGGGTGCTCACACACCTTTGTTGTTGGGGCAGGGTCTCAGGGAGTCATCAGGGTGAAGCCAGCAGAGTTTATCAAGCCCAAATAGACCAAGGTTTGACCATGTGAATGAATGACTGTACCACTCAAGCTTGTGAGGAGAAAAATGGTCCCCCTACTAAAGCCACACAACTCAGTCTGTCCTAGATTCTGCCCAGACCTCCTGGAGAGCCCATGCTTGGCAGGTTGGGGCCACCAGGAGTCAGGATGGTTGGGCTGCCAGAGCCCATAGGAGGATTACTGGCTCTCCCATGAAGGGGAGGCACCAATCAGGTTCTCAAGAAAGTGGGGGGAATGGCCCCCACACCAAAGCTATGCAACTCAGTCACGGACACCCTGAGTCTGCCTGGACCACTCTACCACAGCCCAGGCAGCTGATTCATCAGTAGGATGTGAGTTCTGCAAGGCAGGGTGACAAAGAATCCAGATGGTGGGACTATGGAATTCCCCAAGGCTGATGCTGTATGAGGGGAAGTGCTCCAATCAACAAAGATGACATCTGCAGCGTGAGAGAGGAACTCAGCACAGGGATCCTAGCAGCTGCTCCTTCAGCTCCCTCCCCAGAGCCACAAACCCCAGTCTCTTCTCACATAACTCTAGTCTGCACTGCCCTCACTCCACTGGGGACCATGGTGAGTAGCTGAGATTTTGTGTGTTGGCCCTTGCAGAGAATGCCTGTGTCTCCAGCAGACTCTCATCTCTCCTTGCTGGCCAGAATCCCTGTTGATTTTGACAGCCAAGTGTTATGTGGATGTCTCTTCCTGGCTCTGGTGCTCTGTGCCGAGGTGCCTGGGTTAGGTTTGAGACCCCACACTCCTCATGGTGAACGTTTACAGTTGTGATATCCCTCTGGACACTCCCACCTGTAGAACCAGTGCCAGCCCATTTCACTTTTCCCTTCTTCCTAGTCTCAATGTGGCTTCTTCTGTTAATCTTTTTAAGACTTCTGTTCAGCTGGTCTTCAGCTGGTTATTCAGGTTGATTTTTCTATATTTTAGTTGTAATTCCAGTTTGGTACTGGGAGGAGGTAAGTATAACTTCCATTTACTTCAGCACCATCTTGGATCCACTTCTGACATTTTTATAAGAAATATTTTTTAAATTTTTTCTACATCCCTGACTGGTGTGGCTCAGTGGATTGGGCATCATCCCACAAACCAAAAAGGTCATCAGTTTCATTCACAGTCAGGGCACATGCCTGGGTTGCAGGTGAGGTCCCTAGTTGAGGGCATGCAAGAAGCAACCAATCAATGTTTTTCTTATACATCAATGTTTCTCTCCCTCTCTAAAAATAAATAAAAATAAAATCTTTTAAAAAAATGTTTCCTAGGAAAACAAGCAAACTAACATATAATTGAAAAGTGACTTTGAACATAAGTTAAAATCCTCCAAAAATGTTTTCTAAACTTAATACAAACTTGACAGGTTTTTGAGTGCTTTTCCCACAATGTAACAGTATAACAGAGATTGTATATTCGAGCTGCACAAGGGCCATGTAGACAATATAAGTGAGTGACATGGAGCAAGAGGTACTCTTATAAATTGGAGAGTACATGACCCCTCCCAAAAGATCTGCCACCACTGAGTCCTACAGATTGACACAAGGAAAGAACACATGCCCCAGTGTAGCTAGAGTACCTTCGGTTTAAAGAGAAGCAGAAATCTGGACTTTTATATGACATTTCCTGATTTTTTTAGAATGACAATTCAAATATTTTTATAACGTTGAATGGGCCAAACAAAATATCCATAGGCAGAATTATGACCTCTGATGCACAGTGCAGGCTTTGTGACTTTTTCAATAACAAAATCTTGCCATCTTTCTAAAGGCTTACATCTTTATTTGTAATGAACCTAGCATAACATACAATACTAGTGCAACTGAAGTAAAATTCATATCAAAATTACATGAAGGTTAGACACTTCTGGCCATTCTGCTGAACAACCAAGTCCTGTTTATACTTCTAAGCTACTGGTTGGTAATGAAAGGAAAAATCAGTTACAATGAGGGAGAGAGATGAAGGGAAACTGCAGAAAATCACAACTTTAAAATCACAGTCAGCTTCTAGACTCCAGAGCAATAAAATAATCCATGTGTTGAAATTTGAGAACTTCATTGCCCCAACTAGTCCAACCTGGCTGTAAATTTCGAGCAAACAATTCCAAACATTCCCCATCTGGCTTGAGATAGTCTTTTAAAACCTCTGTCAAAAAAAAGAAAAAATTATTATTAAGAAAGCAATCAATATCTTTTCAGAAGTTAAGAGTAAAGAGTAAAAATATTTCCTTAAAAAAAAAAAAGGAGAGCAAATTAATTTCAGGGGTTTTGTTACAGGCTTTACTATTTATAGGTAGAAAGTCATTTGAAATAAGTACCCTTGAGATTGGGAACACCACCATGAGAACTTTCAGTAGGCCTGATTTATCGGTTTTCATTTGTAGATGAGAAATGAGAATTTTAACACCTACACAGATGACTTTTCGGTTTTCCAATACTGCTGCCGTATCTCCTGAGTACAAACTTAATTTATTTTTTAATAAATGTAATCCATGCATGAAAAAAGTCTATAGTAACAATATAAAGACAGCCCACTTAAAAAACTAAGATAAAATATAAGTCTCTGCAAACATATGCTTTAGTGAAAGTGCAGTAAATGAAGAGTTTGACACAGATATAAATATTCAGAACATATAACTAACAAATAACTATATGCCCTTAGCTATAAATTAGTAGTATTAAAAACATTTCTTCACTTCCAAATTATAGATCCTTATTTGCCTAAAACTTTACCATACTATCTCCACAGTTAAGTATTCTTCATTCAATTCATTAATATTGAAAACTGTATTTTGTTGGAAAAAAGGTACCTCATATATATTGGCTAAAAAGCTGTGATCAACACCAACAGAAAGAAAAGAATATCACAGGAGCTGTATTTTTTAATTGTTGTTCAAGTACAGTTGTCTCCATTTTTCCCCCACCACTTTCCCCTGCCCCACCCACCCCTACTACTCACCCTCATTCCTATCCTGCTTTGGCTTTGTCCATGGGTCCTTTATACATGTCCTTTGACCACCCTTCTTTTCCCCCATTATTCCTCCCCGCCAGGAGCTTTTTTTTTTTTAAAGTACATGCTCATTTGGATTACAAATACTTAAGTCAATTTAACCTTGATCATGTTGCTAAGTTAGCTATATTAACCAATTACAGAAACTGAGTATGAAAATAACAATTCAGGGATGGAAAGTCACTAGACAGGTAAACTACAGGGCTAGGGAAAGTTGGTTTACAGTTGAGTAGACTACAAGAATGTATAAACAATGTAAATAATCATAACCTGCATGTCTTTTTCCACATGAACTGTAAACCTACTTTTGCCCACCCCTGTATACTCTTAATTGCTATACATAATTGAGCTTGGAAGAAATCTATCAAATTCTCTTTAGGAATAGGAATGGTTCTTTAGGTATACTTGATGTAGGAAAAGTTTAAAAGACAACAGATGAAAATTTTTATGTTTTAGAATGTTCTTCAATTGCTTTCACAGCAAAATACTTATTTTTCTGAAAGTACTGGTCCTGTTTATCAAAAATCAAAGAATTAAAATTATTATCTATAACTCAACTGAATTCAAATTTGGGCTTTGCTAGCTTCTAAATATTGGTGATACGAAGATGTCTAGTCCTTTCATAAGTATACAATTGAATTACTGAATTTGAAAGAGAAAGATTTCCCCAGTCTTAGCGGACAATAACCCTATATCATTTTTCCATTTTTTCCCCCATGAATTCAATGCCCTACCATCCTCAATTTACTTTTAATGTTGCCTAAGATTATAATGAACCAAAGTTCTCTTTGTTTTTGCTTATTTGTTAAGTTTTTCAGTATAAAGATGTTAGCAACTCTATTTTGGTAAACTGGAGTCTAAAAGTCAGCCAGTCAAAAATGTTTACCATTCCAAGCATCCACTATAATCAGTGTTATGAGATTTAACAAGAAAAACAGATACCCATGTTTTCTCAGAGTTTACAATCTAATAGAAAAAAATGACCAGGTACCTAGAGTAGAAAAATTCATACAACCTAAACCCATTTATCACCTCCTACTTTCTGAATGTAACACATTACTCCATGGTTTTTTTCTTCCTAATTAACAAAAATAGAAAATCCAGGAGTAATGTCTTATAGAGTATAATGTTAAATGCTTGTTTAATTTCAAAACAAAGCAAAAAAAAGGCAAATTAATAAAAAATGTTTTATTCTAATTTTAAATATTAATTTAAAAATAAATGCAAGATCTTAAAAGTTTCATCATAAGAAAAAAGTCTATAACTTATGTGTGATGGATATTAACTACGCTTATTGTTGGTGATCATTTTGCAATAGATGCTCAACTTATGATGGTTACGTTCTAATAACCCATCACAAGTTGAAAATATCATAGGTCAAAAATGCATTTAATATACCTAACTAGTGAATATTATAGCTGAGCCTACCCTATCTTAAACATGCTCAGAAGACTCACATTTGCTTACAGTTGGATAAAATCATCTAACACAATAAGTGCACAGTAGTTACAGTGACTGTTTACTCTGGCAACTGGGTGGTTTGACTGGGAGTGGTGGTTCACTACTGCAGCCCAGCATTATGAGAAGAGTATGGTACTGCACATCACTAGCCCAGGAAAAGATCAAAATTTGAAATTCAAAGTATGGTTCCTACTGAACGTGTATCTCTTTGGCAGCATTGTAAGGTCAAAAAGTAGAAACATCGTTAGTTGGGGACTGTGTGTGTGTGTGTGTGTGTGTGTGTGTGTAGAATTATGTTGTACAGCTGTGTGTGTGTGTGTGTGTGTAGAATTATGTTGTACAGCTGAAACTAATACATCAATTCTATTTTAATTTTTTAAAATGCAAATATATAGATTTAAATGTATATAACATGTACAATTCATACTAAGATAACTAAGTAACATCTGGCACTAGTAAATATACTTCTACCCAACAGAGAGGAAGTAATCTGTGCATAGCCGGTCACTCCCCTTTTGCTCTGGGAGCAAGGAGCAGGGCTGGGGAAGAAGTTGCTCAAAACAGTATAGAATCTCAGCAAACTATGTTTTACTCTTCAGATAAAAAGTGTTACTGAGTTAAGTAGTAAAAGAGGAGTGGAAATTCCTCTAAAGTAAATGTAAAAAATAAAGTTTGATTCAAATACTTTTATTTCATAATTTTCCTATTAAATCTTTAAACTTAAGAGTATATATTTATAATGTTAGGTTGTAGACCATAGCTATTGATAACTTATCTTTCAATCTAAGGTGGAAATTCAAAACTTAGAGTAAATGTATCTCATTTGAAATGAGATGTCTTCTTTTATATTTTGCAGCAGAAATAACAAATTATATTGTTTTAAAATATTTTTGGTGTTTCCAGAAGCAAAAGAGAACATTTCATTTTATGAATTTGCAGTTTAAGAACATTTACATGTAAAAGTTCTAAGCACTGTATACAGAACACATATTATCCCAAATCCTAGAGTTCTGAACTCAGAGTAAAATATATGGCAGAAATTTGAAAGTTGTTTTGTGGTACCTTTAATTTGTACAGTTCTACACCTAAAATACACACACTTGCTATTTAATAACATGAACTCAAAAATAAAAGATTACAAATATTTCCTGTTTACCATTACTTACTCAAAGCATAAGGATTACATACATGGAGTAATGTAAATTTTTTTTCCAAAATAATTTAACTTTTGTTTTTAAATGGTTCTCAGTCTTTAAAATGTGCTTGTTCTGCTCTCTACTGGGAATATGACAGAACTGCATTTCATAGATACATGCTGTAATACTAATTTCTATTAGTAGTAATAAAAGACTGATTGTTTTCAATAGTTTAAAACTTTACCTCTTAAAACTAATCTTTAAACATAATTTTATTCTTTTTAAAAGTAATTTATCAATAGTTTAATTATCATTTAAGAATAAAAGGTTATGGGTGTTGGCTTTTGGATTTTTGAAATTTAGTCAAAAAATAATAATAAGCCCTAAGGCAAATACTAAATTAAGCTTTGTTACTCACTGACTGATAAATTCAAATGAGAAGAATCCAATTTAGATTTCTCCATCAAATATAATTCATGCCAAACAATTTTTTCTCAGAGAACAATACAATCTCACTTTTCATGTAAGCCACATATTTAATGCATTGAAGAATCTATGGTGGTCCAAAGTTTAAAGATGATTATTCACTGAAGATCCTTGTAAGTCAAAGAATTAATTATCAGGTAGACATGAATATTTCTTAAATGAAGTAACACTATAATGTTTCTTCTCCATAACCAATTTAAGATAACAGAATGCCTAAGTGCTATCAATAAAAATTCTCTGAGGAGTTTTTATTCACTCTCTCCTACATATTCTAGCTCATAAACTATGCCATTTTCTGCAAAATAATTTGATAGAATGGCAGCCTGTAGTGTTACTGAGTGACATCCTAAAAAGTTTGAGGTTTTTAAAGCAGGGATTACCAAATTAATAAAGTACGTATTACTGAAGAAATTATTTGAATAGTAAACTTTGCATATCAAATTCAGTATTTCTCAAGGACTTACATTCTATTTTTTAACTCTCACTAAAAATTTAGTATTCATGAGCTTCTACTATCTGCTACAGAATTTCAAATATAATTCTCACAAATCTGAAAGGTTAAATATCATTATTCCTCTTCAAATGAAGACTTTGAGGTGGAAAATGATTAGAGTAACTCAAGGAGTAGAGCCAGGATTCAAACTCATGTAAGTCAATCTCCAAAGCCAAAACTTTCCACTATTCCTTGCTACTCAGTTTCATTGAATAATGAACATTATATTAACTCATTAAGACTTGTAAGAATTGCAGCTCCAGCAATTACATTTCCAATGGTTCAGAAAAGCAACACTCCCTCAACTTAAAATTCTGAGAGTCTCTAGCAAATATCAAGAGAATTCTAACCTTATCACTGCTGTCCTGAGCTCCTGGTTTTAGAACAAGCAAAGGATAAGGGCCCTAGTAGTAAAACAAAGCTCCTAGTTGAACTACATTCCTCAGAGGCCCCATCAATCTTTATTCTGTCCAGGCCAGAGATGGGGTAGCAACCAACAGTAAAAGAAACTTAAAAAATGCTTTAAGAAGAAAAGATGAGGTAATATAAAACTGATCTGTCTCTTGCCTTAATAGCATTTAGGTAGAACAAACCAGGGGTCTCCCCTTCTTCCAGCCCTGTGACCACCCTCCAACCTCCTTTCCAATCTTAGCCCCCGGGACCACGAAACATCATTTTTCATGGTTAGCTCCTACTGCCCACAAAGCACAAGCTCTCAGATTCCTCAGAGTTACTGCACCCAGGTAGAAGCCTCCATCAGCTGCCTGGTTGCCTTACATCTGTTGGCCTCCTACACATGCCTCACTCTTGCTTCTATTTCCACCATTACAAACATGGCTTTGGAGGGTGAGGGGCCACTTATTGTGCAAGTTGGCATGTATCTCTTAAAGATGCAAAACCAGCAGGGTGGCAGAGCCCTATTCCAGGACATGCAGAAGCCATTCCAAGATAAGTGGATGCCATGGAAGCCACCCTGGCCCTTGAGGACCTGAACCAGGCCCTTTTGGATCTGCATGCCCTGGGTTCTACCAGCAAAGACCCCATTGTCTGTGCCTTCTTGGAGAGCTACTTCCTAGATGAGAAGATGGGAACAGACAACCTCTACAGGCTGGCCCATACCCAGGCTGGGCTAAGCAAATATCTTTTTCTTTTCTATAAGACTATTTATTTATTTTCAGAGAAAGGGGAAGGGAGGGAGAGAGAAACATCTACGTGTCAGAGAAAGATCAATTGGTTGCCTCTCGTATGTCCCCAACTGGGGATCTGGCCCACAACCCAGGCATGTGCCCTGATTCGAATCGAACCAGTGACCTTTTTGTTTGCAGGCTGGTGCTCAATCCACTGAGCCACACCAGTCAGGGCATGAGCATCTCTACAAAAGTCACCCTTGAGCACAAGGAGCCATCTGAGCCTGGTGGCCTTTAAGGGGCCCATCTGCATCACACTCGTGTAAGGGTTTCTATCTGAGCCTCTCCCTGAAGCCACTATGCAGCTTTTTAACCACCTAGATAGAGCCCTCTCCCAAGCCATGAACCAAATGAAAACAATAAATCTTTTTGCAGGAAAAAAAAACACAATAAAACAAACAAAAAAATTTTTAAAAACTAACCTATTCATAAATTGTTATAAAATTTTAGAATATTAATTAAAATAATGTATCTGATTTAATTCCCAAATCTCGAGACTATTCAAATACTAAATTCAATCCTACTTTCAATTTGACAGAAGTCATAACAATTTCATTTATAAAAACATACCAGTAAGAGGTGGCTTATGTGAATGAAGAATACAGGGCACACTGACAATTAACTTGTGATCTGGAATGGGGAGCACATTCCTAATTAAAACAGAACAACAAAGTAAACTACATTTGAAAGAACATTTTTAAATATAAGCTACAATTGCCTTTAACTTTTTTGCCTTTCAAATAATATCTGAATTTAAAAATAATTTAATAGAAACAATAATGAATAGCAACAATTTAAGTATTGAGACATTTCCAATAATTTCCTTTTCAACAATAATGACAATTACATACTAGATAAAACAAAACATAATATAAAATTTTATGTGCCATATTGTTCAGACTTTTCTGGTGTGGGACATTTTTAGATTTTCAAAAATGTAAAACTTAAGGACAATCAATGATCATTTTGTTAATAATTTTTAAAAACCTAAAAGTTACTGCATTTATATAATTTTGAAAAATCACCTTTCCTACCTTAATGGTAAAGTAGTTTTTTCTTGAACTCTCCCAAGTATAAGACATTCATAAGGCTTTTTGTGTGGAGAATCTAATGGAAACACAAACTCTCCTGAATTGGTTATCTGACAGGAAGGAGTCACAAAAAAAAAGAAAAAAAAATCTGTAAATATCCCAGAAAGGGTTTTTCTTTTCCCCTACAGTTTCCACCAAAGAAAAAGAAATTATTAAACCTCCAGGCTAGCACTGTCCAATAAAAATATAATGTGAGCCACAAATGCAAGCCACATATATAGTTTAAATTTTCTAGTAGCAACATTAAAAAAAGTTTAAAAATGCAGTGAAATTGATTTTAATTATATATTTAATTTAATTTAACATATCTAAAACATTATCATTTCAATATGTAATCAATTCAAAAAGTTACTGAGATGCTATATTCTTTCTCATAATAAGCCTTCAAAATCCAGTATTTTATACTTAATACCACATCTCAGTTTGGAACCACATAGTAACTGCCATATTGGACAGAGCTGCTATAATGGGCTAAATATATTTTAAATATCACTTTGTCATCTTGCCCACAAAAATCTCTATTTCTCATTAACATTTACTCCTGGAAACCATGACATCATTAACTAATTTATTCATTTATTCAAATAATATTTCATGATTACTGGCAATGTGACTAAGTAGATTGTAATATTTCCCTTTATTTATAGGAAAGAGTATCATTTAATACTGTCAAAACTAAAATCAATAACAAAAGAAGCTCAGGAGTGATGAGATAGATAGGAGTCCAATCCTTTGGCATTACAAATCCAGATATCAATTTTATCATTTCACCCTGGAGTGATCAGACTCTCAAAGACTCAAGCTAATCAAATTCAAAACACAGTTTATAATAAGACTATCAATTCATTAATTAACTATGAAAATATACATTTTCATGATCAGAATATCCATATGGGGCGGGGGGAGGGGCGGCAGCGCCAAAGAAACAGAATAATCTTCTGGAGGGTAGGTCCCTTGTAGTACAGGCATCCCCTGCTAAATGAATGTTCTAAGAGCCCATCTGTATCAGTGTACCAGCTGGCAATGTTGTGAGAGGGTGCATTCAGCTTCAGTGAATATTTTTGAAGACTCTTTCAACACATTTGCCTATTTCATGATGGGTGATTTATGAGCGCACCTACCCACATCACACTGAGTGTTCAGCAGTTTTTGACCAAAAACAGCATGACACCCATGCCCCACACTTCCTATACACCCAACCTTACCCCAAGAGACTTTTGTTTCCCCAGATGAAAATGCCCTCAAAAAGAAAGAGGTGAAGGAAGAGGCAAAACAAAAAAACAGCAGAAACACTAAAAGGCATCAAAATCGACAGGTTCAAACACTGTTTTGAGCCATGGGAAAAAAAAGTCTCGAAAGGTGTATTGCATCAAATGGAGAATATCTTGAAGGTGACTGAAGTTTAAACACATAAGAATAAATACACAATTTTTTATAAATAAATTCCATGGTTTTTTTGAGTCCCCTTCGTATCTTTCATCTATGCAAACTTTCACCCCATAACAAAGTACCTAAAAAACAAAATCAGTAAAATCTTTTTATCACCTCTTAGTGTCCATGAGAGACAATACATCTACACACCTTTTCAGTAAGTAAAAGCACTGGAAATTCTCATTCTTTGGATATTTTTATGCTCAATGCAGACTACTCCTTCTGTTATAACAATATGTGTAATTACCTAATAATGTTTCATATAATACACTGTATTTTTGTTTTAAACTCTGGTGTCACCAGACCATCTCTCACAACTGATTATTACTACAACTGAATAGTCTTAGTTTTTACGTATTAACATTTTACTGGTTTTGATTTCAGAAGGTTAACTTTCCCTGACTTTGGCCCTACTCTCTGACTATTTCAAGGACCGTCATAATGGACAGGATGGAATGGAGTTTTATATTCCTGTTATCGTCCTATACCTAATCAACGAAAGCAAAGCTCAAACACATCATGACAGCAAAGATATAACTGTAAATGTTTGTTTTCAAAGTCCCATAAAATAGGTGCAAATAATAACATACACAGCTTTTACAAGATATTCCAGTAGACCACAAAGAACAAAGCACATAAAAACGGAACTCTCCTGTGTCTAACATGAATACACCAACTATATAAATATTAAATATTCAATTAATAATTTGGCTTATACTTTTAAAAGTTAGAAGGGCTTTGTGGAATTCATGTAAGTAAAAAAATGTATCTTTAAAAGGATGTCTGGTGAACTCTAAACTGATACCTTAATTTTTCTGCATTTTTTGGCATTCTTATAGAAGCACGGTAGTAAAGATCACTCAACCAATTTGAGAGTTGCAATCAGTTCTTTCCAAAATAAGCAAGCAGCTCGTAAGGCACTGGAGGGCCTAAGTTAGGATTTAAAGAATGAAAAGTTTTTGGCTCTAGCATCTTCCTTCCTACCTTTTCCACACTGGTTTACTTTCCTATTCTCCCTCCCATCTCCAGCAACATAAGAAAAAGAAAGAAAAAAGGAAAAAAGTCAAAAACGGTGACTAAAATCATGGATGTATAAAAAGGAAAAAGATGAAGGGTAAGGCTACCTTTATGTTTAGTGATGGACAGATTCCCCGAAGTTTTTGTTTGCTGTTTTTTAAACTATAGGTGTCAAAGCTTTTTAAAATGTCATCCTAATATCTTCCTTGAATGATTTACTAAGGCCAGCAGTTTGGGACTCTATTACAAAACATATAGAAAACAAAGCCTTAAGAATAAAAAAATTAAAGTATTTAGCAGCAAAGTAAAAGTACTTCCTGTTGAAGGAGTACATCAGTGACGTTACATGTTAAATACTAAATGCGACCTTAATGTGACTTAATAAGTCACACTATATTAAAAAAAAAGTTAACATCTGAACTTACTTTTAACCAGTGCCATTCAGCCACTGTCTCCACAGACCATGAAGGATAAAGTTCTTCCTTTACAAAACGTAGGTGCTTCTGTCTGTTAGTCACCCAAGTAATAACAAGACAGTTTGGAGCAGCCAGTTTAGGGATAGGTATTTGCTTTATTTGCAGTGGTGATAAATAACTATACCTAAAAATAAATACAAAAAATATTAGCAAAACTTGCTGCAAAAAAGACAAATAAACAGGAAGAAGATCTGTACATACTGACTCCACATCTTACAAAGCTCCCATTAGGTATTTATTTTTATTACTAAATATGAAGGCACAGTGACATCCAGTGGACACATTATTCCACGCAAGTCAGAAATAACTTCATTTTTTGTTTTTATTGTTTAAAATTGTCAGGCTATCTTTCTTTATCATTTCTAAGTGCATTACATTTCAATAATTTTATTAATATTTACAATATGTTTTTTACCATTGTTTGGTTTTCATAATCTGTACATTAAACAGGGAACCCATCACAGTGAGTCCTGACACTATGTCTCAATATTCTACCACATTTTCAACCCTCAGTCTATCAACCTGCTTCCTTCTTCCTTCCCAATCAATTCCACTCATCTCTCTAAAACTCTCATGCTTTCATTACTAAAAAAAATAAAAAGCATAGTCTTGCATCTCTCTTGTGCATTAATTGTATGAAGTCTAGTTTTTATTTCTAGAACACTACTTGCCCTACAAAATTCAATCAAATAAATGTGGCCCTTTCTCCAACACTCAATACACACAACAGGGAGAGGAGAGATCAGCATTCTCCTAGCTCCCCTCCTGCTGCTTCCAGGATATAACTCATATACCTTTCAATAAAATCCCCTTCACTTTGAGAGGTATGCTAGCCTCTATTGTTTCTTTTTTGAAAAATATTTATTTATTTCTAGAGAGAGGAGAAGAGAGGGAGAGAAACACCAAAGTGTGAGAGATATATCGACTGGATGTCCCTCACACGCCCCCAACTAGGGATCTGGCCCAAAACCCAGATATGTGCTCTGACCAGGATTTTGGCTCACAGGCTGGTACTCAATCCACTGAACCACATGAACCAGGGCTCTAATGTTTCTTACAGAACCTTTTTCATCTTCACTCTCCATATTTAATGAGGACTTAAGCACAGAGACCCTCTACCTCACCAATACAAATCTTACTACTATCCCAGGCAATTTCAAAGCACAAATCTGTATAATATACACACTTCAACTATTCTTCCCTTAAATAAATACAATTGCATTCACTCCAGTTCATTAATCCATTCAAATGGCCATTACCTAGACCTTGCCATCACTCATACTTGTTCCATTTCTGAAACCATGAACATCAATCTCTAGCTATAATCCCCTATCCTTTATCTACTCCTTTACCTTATCAAACCATCTAGTCAATGCCCCATTCCTCAATTTTACTGAGTCTATCAGTTTCCTCCTTCCCCACAGACTATCCATCGCTTCACTTCCTTCTCAATAGCACCTCCTCCCATCCCACTTTTACACTTCACCCACAGCTCCTGCAAAACTCCAAACTTAAATTCAATTCAACTTCAACACAATTCAACTTCTTCATATGTAGGAAACCAGGTGGAGAAAAATAGAGAACTAAAGAATTTAGTCAATTAAACCCATTCTCAGGCTCTCAAAACTACTCAGTTCTTTTATTTATCCTTGGTCAACTACTATAAACTTTCATCTCTTTTCAAGTCCCTTGCCCAAACTCACTACTGACAGGAAGGCCACCAGACTCCTTCAACAACATAACCTTTTCCCTCTTGTACTACTTCACTTACATATTTCTATACATTTCCTCTTAAGAGAAATGGCATGGCTTCACCTATCTAAAGCTTACGTCCCCAGGTGTGTTCTCTTAATCCCACCTTCTAGCATCTTGTTATACTAAACACTCCTTCCTTCTGTACATTCACCTCTCTAGCTCCTTACCATCAGCCTATAAAGATGTTTATATTTTTCAATTGTGAAGAAAGAAAGAGAGAAGGGAGAGAAGACAAAAACGAAGAAAAAAGAGGAGAAAATGTCCCTCAACTTGGTCTCCTTCCGTCTTTAGCTAAAGTAAAGACTGGTATGCATTTAGTCTTTCTGCTGTCGCTCCTTTATTGCTCAATTGACTAAAATGAGGCTTCTATTATAGCTGCTCTGGAAAAAGTAAGTAAGATCCAAATGCAATAAACACTGGGATACAACTCTAACACATGGCAACTGTATGATGTCAGGAAGTAGTCAACAAATATTTCCTAAATAAACAAATAAATAAGTAAAACAATTCTGATCTCAAGCACCCAGTTTCCTGCCATCTAGACCAGTGGTCTTCCAGTAGACTACCATTTTTAATAATCAAAATGATGATTTTAAAAGACTAAGTTTGCCACAGTACAAAGAACATAGGTCAAAAACTTGAAGCTTAGTGGCCTCCATTAATGCAGATTTCTTAATTGCCTTAATTTTATATAATTGGGTTGATTTTTGAAGGAGAAGCAATAAAGAGTCACACTTCATTTTCTAGTTGTAATCTCCTGAAAACCACAAAGTCCATCTTCGTGTTGTAATACAAAGTATGGGGACTTCTGGTCAAGACAGTGGCATATGTAAACACGGCTCACCTCCTCGCACAACCACATCAAGATTACAACTAAAATATAGAACAACCATCACTCATAACCATCAGAAGTCTAGTTAAATGGAAGTCTGGCAACTATGGAATTAAAAAACAATAGCCAACCAGAGTGGTAGGAGAGGTAGAGATGCAGAACAAGCTGGTCCCACAATAACATGTGGTGGAAAAAATTCAAGAAGGATATCTCAGGGGTAAGGAGTCGCAGCCCAAATGAGGCCGCCCAGCCCAGGGTTCCAATGCCAGGAACATAAGTCCCCATTACTTCTGGCTGCAAAAACCAGCAGGGATTGAGTTAGTAGAAGAAACTTCTGAAGTCCCAAGCAGTTCCTCTTAAAGATCCCATACAGGGACTTATTCAGGCTCACTCCCTCTGTGCTCCAGCACCAGGGTAGCAGCTTAAAAAGCACCAGTGGCATACAGGGAGGAACTGAAGTGTCTGGCATCAAGGCAAGAGCTGAGTGACAGCTTTCTCCCAGAAAGGAAAGCAGGCAGAGGCCATTGTCCCTTTTCTGAAGTCTCCCCAAAAAGAGTCACAGAGCTGGCAGGCTGGTCATATCTGAGACTCCATCAGCCTGGCTAACACTCTTTGTCCCACCCCAGAGATTCCCCAGAGACTCAGTCCCATGCAACTCACTGTCCCACCAAAGCTGCTTTTCAATATAAATAGCTGGTCTGGGCTCATGCTTCACAACTTCCTAAATCCTCTCAAACAAACAAACAAGCCTCAGCGAATCCTTAGTCCCCATACCTCTTGCTAAGTGGCCCCAGACCCATTACTAGCAGCAGCTAGCCTAGATTTACAGCTTAGCTTCACCTGGGAATTTCCAAGCCCAGGACAAGTAGCAGCCATCTCAGATTGCTTTATAACTCAGGCAGGGTGACCCCACGCAAAACACAGGTGGGGGCTGACCTTGGCCGGCACCACCCAGGAAACCTCAGAGCCTACATACCCAGTGGAGAGCTACAGACCATGTCAGAGTACCACCGTCCAGCATCTGCACAGCTGATCCTCCACAGAGGGAGGAGACTGGTGGTCACAGACAATCATTGTAGCTGTGTGGCTTGAGTAAATCCCTCCCATTACCCTGCTAACAGCAATCAAGGCTCAACTACAACAGGAGTGTGTACTCAGCCCACAAAAAGGCACACCCCACATGCCCAGCCCAGATAATGGGGGTTGCAGGGGGCTGTGCCACTGGACCCTACAGGATAGCTACTACATTAGGCAATACTATCAAGACATGGAGTCAAAGAAGCTCTACCTAATATATAGAAACAAACACAGAAAGGCTACCAAAATGAGAAGACAAAGAAACATGGCCCAAATAAAAAAACAGATCAAAACTCCAGAAAAAGAGCTAAACAAACTGGAGACAAGCAAACTCGCAGAGGCAGAGTTCAAAACACTGGTTATAAGGATGCTCAAGGAACTTAGTGAGGACCTCAACAGTGTAAAAAAGAGATCCAGTCACAAACGAAAGATACACTAATTGAAATAACAATTTACAGGGAAACAACAGTAGAGTGGATGAAGCGGAGAATCAAATCAAAGATTTGGAACATAAGGGAAGCAAAAAACAACCAATCAGAACAATAAGAAGAAAAAAGAATCCAAGAAAATGACGATAGTATAAACAGCCTCTGGGACAACTTCAAGAAGTCCAACATTCACATCATAGGGGTGCCAGAAGGAGAAGAGAAAGAGCAAGAAATTGGAAATCTATTTGAAAAAATAATGAAAGAAAACTTCCCGTATTTGGTGAAGGAAATAGACATACAAGTACAGGAAGCACAGACAGTACCAGTTATGATGGATGCAAAGAGGTCCACTCCAAGATACATCATAATTCAGAGGCCAAAGAGATAAAGAGAGAATATTAAAAGTAGCAAGAAAAGAAGTTAGTTACCTACAGAGGAATTCCCATAAGACTGTCAACTGATTTCTCAAAAGAAACTTGCAGGCTAGAAGGGATTGGCAAGAAATATTCAGAGGCATAAAAAGCAGGGACCTACGACCAAGATTACTCTACCCAGCAAAGCTATCATTTAGAATTGAAGGGCAGAGAAAGAGCTTCCCAAAGAAGAAAAATCTAAAGGATTTCATCATCACCAAACCATTGTTATGTGAAATGTTAAAGGGACTTATCTAAGAAAAAGAAGACCAAAACCATAAACAATAAAGTGGCAATAAATACGTATCTATCAATAATTGAGTCTAAAAAACAAACTAAGCAAACAAGAGAATAGAATCATGGACACAGAGAGCATTTTGGCGGCTGCCAGATGGGAGGGGGGTTGGTGAAACAGATGAAGAAGTGAGGGGTTTAAGAAGTACAAATAAATATATAGTTCCAGAATAGCCACGGGGATGTAAAGTACAGAATAGTAAATGGAGTAGCCAAAGAACCAACATGCATGAACAATGGTGTGGGGATTACCAGAGGGAGTGGAGGGTGCTGGGTGGAAGGTGGCAAAGGGGGAAAAATTGAGACAACTGTAATAACATAATCA